GACGTTGTAAAACAAGCCAATTCACTTTGTGAATTCGGCAACCAGGTTACCGGGTTTTTTTTTACCTCCGTTTTTTTTTTTGGCGGTAACCATAATGGTGGTCGAGTAGATCATGTTGTGCGGGGTGGAGAACCCTCACTCCGCGCAAGGGGGATGATCGCACCACGTTGTGTTAAAATGGTCAAGCACCCTCGAGGCAGTTACACAGTGCTTACAACTGTCTCTGGAAGNTCCCGGCTTTGTAGGGATGCGAGGTCAATGGCCTAACGACTACGGCATGCACAACTATGAGTACACCCCCGGTGCCATCTCTCCGCCCCCGGTGCGGAAATGCAAGTAAATCATTTCGTTTTGTTTTTTCAAGGCACCCCGGAGCGATCTCTCCGACCCGTGCCATCCCCCCCGATGAAATACACACAGGTGTTGTATGCACGCCCCTCGGTGCCATCTCCCCGACCGGTACCATAGTACTGATATCAGTGTGGCATACCCTCGCACACACGCGGTCTTCTGCACACACAATGCTAGTGATCAGTAAACCATACGTTTACCGTTGTTGCTGGTTGGAAGCATACCGGTAACGGCAACGTATACGTAACCGCTTTCCATGCAGCGAGTGGTCTTGTGTTTGAAGTTGAGTTGGGCTATGACGTGACACGGACAACAAACGATCTGGTTTACATCTGAGGCACCGGTAAACACGGTATCAGTTATCTCCCGCTTTCGTGTCGGGCTTCCTCTACGGATACCAGTACGTACGCAGCAGTACAATAGTTTCGTGTTGTGCAAGGTGGGTAGGGTGAGGCTTGTACGTTGCGTGTTTGGTTGAATGTACGGTTGGCAACTTCCAAACCAGTTGAAAAATGAAAACAACTGGCATCCCGCGTGAACCACGACCATGCATGCGTACATGCAGGACAGGAGTGGCGCTCCGCTGAAACCGTCCCCATGTGCAAAAGGTACGCAGATGTACCTTGTTCCGGCAGCCGAAAAGGAGCTCAATCTTGGATTTTTGGGGTTGGTGAGATTGCATCGCACCCGACCCCGGTGCGTAAATCGATTTCAATAATGTCGTTCTTGTACTTTTTTGCGCACCGCCGGTGCCATCTCCCCGACCGGTGCCATCTCTCCTACTGATACGGTACCCCTCTTGCCCTCTTGGGTTTTGGAGGGAGGAGGAGCGCGGCCGGTCGTCACATGCTCATAGTTGGTGACAGCGCGTGCTGATAAGCGCACGGCGTTGGCTGAGGGTGCTTTGTCAGATTTCTTTTTGCCGCAAAGATAACAAGTGTGAACCTTCTTTGTCGGCGCTCGAAACGCCCTTACATCCTCAACCCTTGGGGGAACTCAATATACTCAGCAGAGTCACCTAGCGGTGGTATTGCCTTTGATCGCAATGTGCATACACGTCCGTCCAAAAACCATAAGCCAGATGTCTCAGCAAATGGATGGGCGAAACACATGGAGCCACCGGTTCGTCGATTTCACGTTGATGACTTATTGTTGCATATACAATTTTGCCGGAGTCGTTCGACACCCAGCGGCGCAGCAAGACTTGGGCGGGCAAGGCGCACATTCGAGCCACTTGATTCCTCGCCTTTTCGCTTGGAGCTCCGAAAAAAACGAGCCAGAAGCTTTGGGCGTGGGGAGTAGAGAGTAGTATCAAACTTCGGTCAACAGCTACAAGCTCTCTTGCTTTTGGCTCTCGTGGGTCAACGCGGTTCTTTTCTGGCACATTCTGCACCCCACGGCGCCAAGCGCTTGCCCGAACCCGATGGACCCATAGAATCATGTCCTCCTGGATACTCCCCCTCCCAACACGTCACGTCCTTCCGTGTAATTATCGTGACGAAAAACCAACACATTCCCGCCCTTTCCCCTTTCCTGGTGCCAAGCTTGTCCGCCGGGCTCTCTCGACCAGACCGGTCTTCCTGCTGACAACCTGGCTCGTTGTGTTTTCTCAAAGCTACATGTTTGGTTCTGGTGCCATCCGCTCATGCCGGACGGCCACCCGTTCAGATATTGCTTCCTCCGCCCCGGAGCCGCGAAACAGATCATAATTCAACGTCAGCACCCCCCCTCGCTCGTTTTTTGGCTGCGTACAGGAGGACGAAGAATTATTTTTTCTTCCAATCGGCAGAGCATTTATCTACGGAGTCTCCAGAGGGAGGGGGGACGGGTGGGCATGGCGAGCGAGGTTCTTCCGGCCTCCGATGAAGCTGCTGTACCCAAACAAAGCTGGCACCTATCGCCTGGTTCAGGCCCTCGACATGTGCTTACGTCGTGATCTGAATCGGTCGACCCCATGGTGACACGGCGCACTTTGCGGTAATAGTTATTTAGTCGCCGTTCGTGAGCACTACGTCGACGAGAGGAGACTGCTTGTTTTGACATCTTCTGGGAATACTATTTCTTGTATTTTTCCGGTAAGGTAAACGTGTTCAAAGCTTCTCGAATACATGTAGTCGTATCCCGGTACGAAGAGGTGATGTCTTGCTTCTCTTGCGCTTGTACCCCGTGCCGCATGTCGTACGGTAATCGTTGGTTGTGTAGAAGCGCGCGGTTTCGTGATATACAAGTGTTGATGGGATACTATAAGTAGAGAGGAACAGGCAATCCATATTTCGGGTTCCTCTGAAAAGGGGACCGCCTTTATTTCCAGTTTCTGTCGGAAAAGACGAAAATACGAGGGGAAGCAGTTATGTCTTCCGTTCTCGGGACAATGGCGGTGTCGGTTCGAATGGTGAAATACTGCTCCTCCGTGGTGATGGTTGCGTCGTGGCGGGAGATTGGGTTGGTCTTGTGGTCGGGAGACGGGCCACGTTTTCTAAGTGATTTGAGAGGTTTCCTTTTGGGTTGAGCAAACGCATGGCTGTGTTGTCGCGTGATTTGCGAGGTCTGAGATCTTCACAAGGTATGAGGGTTTTGCAGATCTTTTTGTTTTTTCCTCGGCGCCGACAGCAAATGCACACTACAACGAATGGAATATCCTCTGCCCACCACCGAAAGGAATCCATGGTTGGTGAAGCGCTGCCCTTTTGGGGGTGGTGTGCAACAAACACTCACGCACGCCGCCGCAGGGAGTCTTTGCGTGGCACATGCCAAAGGGGGGGGGGTGAGTGTTGGTATGTACAACATGCAAGGTTCTGGCCCGTTCATCTGCTGTCTACTCTGCCGAAAAAGAACAACACTGGGCTCAAATGTTGTCAAAAAAAGTACGAAAGACATCGTACATCGGGCACCCTTGTGCTCGACGGTGTGGCGACGGAATATGGAACTGATCCTAAGGGTCAAAACTGTCGTTTGTCACTACAGATCGGTAGGTGTACTACTGTACGATCTGACGGGACTGCACGTACAGAGATCAGATCACGGTAGAGCCCTGATCGTGGCCACTGCTGTAATCCATAGGAACTCTTCTAGTAATAGTTTTTTTATTCATTTATTATGTGTTTGGGCCTCGGACGCGATGGCTTGGATGAGGGTATTGCGCAGCATCAACCCAACGCCACTAAAAACCTGGGCGTTGCCTTGTTCCGTACGACGCACTTGAAAATTATGTAGGGCAATTTTAGCCTACTGCTGTAATGTCTACCAGGTGCAGAGCTTCTGTGTACGTTGAAGTTGAAGTGACACAGGAATTTCGCGGAGGAAATAGATTGAAGAAAATCTATAAACGTCTGCTCGGACGACGCCAAACACGTTAGAGATTGCAACTGCGTTCGAGACCAAGCATGATGAAACACATGCACGTCCTGCCGGTCGCATCAGAAAGAGCTTGGGACAGGATTATTATGCATCGTATGTTGTGGATAGGATTCCAAGACATCCGCAAGACACTATGGAAGATGACAATATATAGAGCGAAGTTTCGCTCTATATATTGTCATCTTCCATAGGCAAGACATGAAGACATGATGGCGGGGGGCGTCGTGTGCGATGTTGAATGAACGGGACGTGGAGTTTGGAAACATACACGGAGCCCCCGCGGGCCTTGCCCAGCCTTGCCTGGTATCACTGCTGCAAGCTGCTGCTGTGTAGGTGCGCACAAGCTGCTGTGTGCGTGCCTGAGAGCGAGTCCATGAAAGACCATGTCAGAATTCTGGTTTGCGGCGACGGTGAGCAAGAAAGCAAGCCTTGATGTAGTGTGTGCCTGGTTTGGACTGCTGTGGAACGGCCGCATCAACAGACCTTTGAAACGCAGGACACACGAGAGAGACAGCACGCGACCAATACGCGCGCAGCAGCAGCAGCAGCAAAATATGTAAACTCCCGTCGGAGACCAATCAGCTTTGCCTCGGTCACAGCACATCCAGGAGCAATCAACTCCGTCCGGAAGGAAGTACTCGATCATGACTGCAATCGAGCGTTGGTGCCTCACTTTGGTATGCCTCGATCTCACCTAGACTAATAATAAGCGCACATCCCTTTCCCCCCGCTTTGCTTGACGCGTGTTTTCGCGCGCACATCAAATTGTCCCCGTCTCTTGTACTCTTGCTAACGTTTGACGTTCATCGTTTCGCCCACGCCCTGTTCCATCACCGCCGCCAACAATTACGTTGCCTGGCTGCTGCCGTGTGGATCCTGTGCAAAACGTGGGCACGCGGGCATGTATACCTGCCTGCCTACCTTGTGGCCTGGGTGCAGATGGAGTTGGCAAGTCCACGTTCATCGGTACACTCATCGCGAGGAACTTCGCTCACGAGGTAGGTGTGTCTGCTGTCTGCTGTTTGAGCGCAAGGACGGAGGATGAGCAGGCGGGGCGATATAGGCCTCTCCTCTAAGGAGATAGGCTGCGACAGGATTTTTTGCATAAGACCGTCGGAGTTGTTTAGGAATAATACACGAAACACGGCAGTTTGTTTGGGGGCTTCCATGTGGTTCAGTTTAGCGAGGAGGTGCTGAGGCCTTCTGGCACTTCAAGTCACGGATACGTTTGGTTTACAGAGCCTTCCAGTTGTCAATAGATGTATATTCGGTAGTACTATCCAGGGGGCGCAACCAGCGATACGGCTGCTGTAAATGTCTTCGATATACCTCGTGCTTGTGCTCTCTGTGCACGGCAATGACTACGGAGGGGGAGCATCACTCACACAAATTTGCAAGTTTGTACCTGAGGTAAGTGCACAAAATGACTGCTGTTCCCCTCGCTATCCGTATGATGGTGTGTTCGTTGGGGTTTATCGCGACCTGTCTTGTGTTGACCCGCTATGCTACATCCACAAGTATTTGGGTGTCCTTTCAGGGATTGGACATGACGCTGAGTTGCTAGTGTTGTCTCTGCCGCAAGAATGGATCCGACGCAACCGGTGGTGCGGCATCGGTTCAACGGGAAGGGCAAGCAATCCAGCGTAGCCCCCCCCCCCCCCCCCCCCCCCCCCCCCCCCCCCCCCCCCCCCCCCCCCCCCCCCCCCCCCCCCNTTGCCGTTCGAGATAGCACGACAGTCGTTGGTCTAATCGGAGAAAGGAAGCGATTTCGAGAGCTCAACTGACGTGCGCTACGGGATGGATAAAGTATATACATATTTTTGTCTTCACTTCTCGTCAGCGCTCACAGCACTAGTGCCGTTTTCTCCGACCCGTGGTCACACAGAAGAGCCCCTCTCTACCCTCCCCTCCTGTGGTACTTTGCCTTCGATTTGTAATGCGAGAAGAGTTCAGCACTCTCTTCCCTCTGTGAACACACGAACTAGCGCTATCCGCTAGGCCAGGAGCGGAAGGGAGAGAAAAACTCACTTTGAAAGAAAAGCTCGCTTACACCGGGATACGAACCCCTGACCTGACCTTTTGCAGGTTTCGAAGATGCCAACTAGACCACCGGGGCGACCATGGAATCGGAGAAGTTGGTTAAGGTTGGGGAATAGGGTCTGCTTCCCCTCTCTCTGTTCTGTTTCCTCATGAACTTATTCATCTCGCGAAGGCTGTCCTCACGAATACAGTACCACCCCCACATGAGATCACACACCCAGGCCCACAACACCACCCCCGTGGTAGTAGTTTGACGGCTCAAAACAGAAAACTTGGCCCAGATCAGGTACAAGGGCAACGTAGAATCCCACCACGTACCCCCTAGCAGTAATGCACCCGATGACACATACTGCTGTTTCCGACCCCTGCTTTTGGTGGCAGGTGCCGGCGGTGATGTCTGACGTGCACATTCCTCCCGAGGAGAACGATGACCAAGTATTTTGCACCATCACCGACTCTTCCGGTAAGCCACCAAAGTTTTTTAGCGGAGACGTACCGTGATGTGATTTTTTTTACGCTCGTCTGTCCTGTTTTCCTTTTGACGATCTGTGGAACCTACGCGTTTATAGGTGTGTCGACTCTGGCCTTCTCTGGCCACCACCAGCAGCTGTAGGAAGAGCAGCGATTGGAGAATTAGTATCCTATGCCAGCGGCAATATCCGTGTGATACAGCATGGTTTCTCAACCGGTATGCAGCTGTTCGCTCTCCTGTTTTGCCTCTCCTTTTCTGTTTTTTTGACGATAGTACTGCTGTGGTGGTGTGTTGCCTCTCTCGTCGCTATTGTGTTCCTTAGCCCTACCTCGCGGCAGGCAGCAGCTGGTGGAGAAAATGCAGAGCGCGGAGTCTATCCTTGTCCTGTACGACGTGCAGCGACCGGAGACGTTGACGCACCTCGACACGTTTTGGCTCCCCCTTATCGAGGCCAACGCTGAGGTGGGTACAGCAGTAACGCTCTTGCTCTGTACCGACTGTTCTTGACTACGTTGCGACTCATGTCGTTGTTGTTGGTGTTGTGGTTGTTTTGTGTACGTGTTCCGTTGCTGTTGTTGATGTTGTTGTTGGCCGCCATGCTCTCGTTCGGGGTTGTGGTAAATCTCGGAGTTCCTTGCAACACATCTGGTTCGTTTTCTTTTTCTTTCTTGCGTCAGCTCTCTTGAATCTATCCGTGTTGCTGTAATCAAACGTCGTCTTTTGTTGTGTGTCGTCAGGATGTGCCGGTGGTGATCGTGCGCAACAAGATGGACACTTTGGTTGCGGAGGGAGACCTGGGAGAGCAGCGGTCAATCGACTTGGAGCGGCAGGTGGGAGTTCTACACTTAGCGCCCGCGCTTAAGAAGCTCTAGTCTAGTTTTGACCATGAGTGGGGTTCTTAGCGCCCGGGGTCATGCTACAAATGGCAACTAGAATGTAAGGGTTCTTCACGGAGCCCACTAATAGTGCTAAGTATTATTTTTTCGAGGCTATGTCAATTTCTTAGCTGCTGAGTCCTTGAGGGATTGAAGGCAAGGTATTTTGACGCTGGTTCTCCTTTAGTACTTAAATCCAATATATTAAAGGAAAGAATCTTCCCGCCGTTTAGGTTTCATGCGTTCTGCTGTTGTCAGTAGAAGACAACATGCAGAGGCGTCCTGTGTGCTGGTACGTTCAGGTTTGCTGCTGTAGCTGAAATACTGAAGGTCGCAACAGCCTCTGAAAACAGTCCGAAATCTGCGCCGGAACTTGCCGGAACCACACACGTTACCCACAGCCGTGCTCACCGCCACGGACTGTAAACCCCTGAACGGCGGGTCATCAGCAGTAGCTATTGTGGCATCAGCTACTGCAGTCAACCCGCAGTTGTTGAGATTGCGGCGAGTACAAGACAGTACAAGACACGAGGTGTTGGTCTAGCTTGCGGACATTTGCGGAGATTGTAGGCAGCTACGACTCTCAATATCACCACCCAAGAAGCAGATTTGAGCGCATTAATACACACACCCCGCTGCTGTAGGGTGCCCTCTGGTGTTATCAGTAGAATGTGTTGAACCTAGTACAACACCGACCTCGTTTGAGCGCCTGCCGTTTGGCTCTTTTGACTTGAGTTTAGAATAGCGTGAATTTGATGTTGAAGCCAAATGAGGCGTGTGGAGGTAGACTTGTGAAGTGTATGTTTAGAGCA